GGATGATAGCATTACATTCCTCCGTCAGATTCACCATCTCACATTCCTGCAACCTACGCTTTATGGATAATAGATCCTTCATGAACCTTGCGTAGTTGGGCATGTTCTCTAAAGCTTCGGCAAAAGGAATGTTGATTTGCAACCTTTTGAATATGTCTAGAAACTTTGAACACTGCTGCTTCTGAATCTCTTTCTTTAATCTCTGAGGATAAGGGATTCGAGCATATGGGAAGAGATCTAATGGCTTGTTCTGTCTTTCTAGAGCTTTCTTCTTCTCCCACTTGAATAGTTTCTTTTCGGCTTTTTCAGGATTGCTTTTGTCAACTTCAATTGTATCTTTTTCCTTTTCTTTCTTCTTTTCTTCCTCTGATTCTTCTCCATCCTTCTTCTTTTCTTCGGGCTGCTCCTCTATAGGCTGAATCACTGTACCACTCCTAGTGGTGATAGCATTGCAATGCTCCCTTGGATTGACAACTGTGTTGCTTGGGAAAGTACCCTGAGCTCTCTCAGAAAATTGCTTTGATAACTGGCCAATCTGAATTTTCAGATTTCTTATGGAAGCTTCTTGATTCCGGTGTGCTGCTCTAGTCTCTTGCATGAAAGCAGATGTGTCCTCTCTGAAAGCATTTGCACCTTGAACATAATCAGAAGTGGTCTTGCATAACTGTGCAAAAGTTTTCTCCCACTCAGAAGTGTTACTTTGTTGTGGGGTATCTGGTTGCACTGGAAGGGGAGGATTGAGCTGATGATTGGATTTGTGACTCAACCCTGGATGTTGATTCTGATTCTTCTGATCATACCAGAGTCCATTGACCTCTGCTGGTGGCTTTTCAGTTGTTCTCATGTAGTCACAATCTTCAATTGCATGAGCCTCTGCACAAATACCACATTTAAAATTAGAATTATTAACAGAAGAAACTTGAGAAGAATTAAAAATTTTTGTAAGAGCATCTAATTGTTCTTGTCGTGTCTTGTGCATTTGCAGCATTTGTTCATTTTGGGCTAAGAGCGCATCATAGCCTTTGAGCTCCATAATTCTTGCTCTTCTTGGTGCAACTGGAGCAGGGGCATTGTCAAATTCTTGAGACGCTAAAGATTCCAACAACTCTAGCGCTTCCTCTGGAGTTTTTGTTTTCAGTGATCCTCCTGCAGCAGCATTCACCAGTGTTCTTGTGCTGGATGTCATCCTTTGGAAAAAGATTCTTGCCTTCTCCCATGCTTCAATTCCATGTTGAGGACACTTCCTAAGTGATCCTTTGAATCGTTCCCAGGCCTCGTACAAAGATTCGCTTTCTTTTTGTTCAAAAGCTGTGATCTCCGCTTTGAGTCTTGCCATTTTTGAAGCTGAGAAAAATCTAGCCAAGAATTTTCTTGCTAAGTCATCCCAATTGGTTATGCTTCCTTCAGGTAGAGACTGCAGCCAATCTCTTCCTTCATCCTTCAGTGAGCATGGAAATAGCCTGAGCAAGATAGCCTCACGAGGAACTCCATTTACTTTCAATGTATCACAGTAAAGTAAGAAGTTATCCAGATGACTATAGGGGTTCTCTGTGCTTCCTCCAGTGAACTGTTCTTTTTGAATCAGTTGCAGCAGTGCCAGCTTCAGTTCAAAGTCGTTAGCCTCTAAGTTAGGTCTAACAATGCTTGCCGTCTGTGGAACTCGAGTTGGGGTCATGTAATCTCCCAACGTCTTTGGAGCGAGTTGATTGTTTCCTGCCATTGATTCCTCCTTAGGTTCCTCTTTTGGTTCCGTCGAAGTTGATGCCTTTGTTTCTTTCGCTTTCTTTTCTTTTGCGTCCTTCCTAAGTTTCCTTGCTGTCTTTTCTATCTCAGGATCAAACTGCAAGATTCTTGGGTTAAGAGTACCTCGCATAAACTTAAAATTAAAAAGACAAAACAGAAAAACAGAAAAATGATAAAAATAAAAATAAACAAAGAATGCAGAAAAATAAATATGCAGAAAATTGATGCAGAATTTTAATGCAGAAAAATATTTTTGAACAATGTAAAAAGTGAAGAAAATTAAAACGTTCAATCTAAAAGTTAATTAGTTACTTCTAATGTTGACGAATTCGATCCCCGGCAACGGCGCCAAAAACTTGTTGCGACTCGGCAAGTGCACCGAAAGTAATAAAGTGTACCGGAGTACGAGATCGTTCCCACGAGGATCAGAATTTTCAAGCACTAGTTCGCTAATCGCGTCTTAGTTGGACAATCAAGAATATAGATGAAGAGAGTTGTGATTCAAAGAACTTAAAATTAAAAAAAAAAAAATAAGATCATGCAATTATGAAAATTCAGAATTAAAAGAATGAATGAAGATGATGATGTTTGATTATGAATTTAAAACAAGCGTAGTTAAGGTTTCGACTTCCCCCAATATCCTCAATATGGAATTAAACAGTCAAGAATTTGTTTCTTAATATATTGCCAATCAATTCTATCTAAGTTAATTACGGCTCAATTCCTTGTTACCATAAATCTATGTAAACTTGAAAGAACTCTAGTTTCCCGATTATTCCCCAAGAAAACATGCATTAAGATCAAGAATTTCAAGATTGCATAATTATCCTATGTCTATCCCTAGATCACAAGAATTATGATAAATTATCAAGTCAGGGTTCATGCACCAACATTCCTATTGTCATACAATTTCCCAAAATCATTCTATAAGGAACAAACTCATAGAAAGCATTAAAGACAGATAATTTATTCAATTATAAAAAGAACAAGATTCGGAGACAATTTAATTCATAAACATAACCATTCAATTGGGTTCCATCTACCCTTAACTACATAAAAGACTACTCTAGCATACTGAATTGAAAAGAAATAATAAAGAAAAGAGAACCTCAAGCCTCCATTGGTGTGATGTTGACTTGGTTCCTCAGTGTTCCAGTGCTCCGCAACAGGATTCCTCCTTAGAGTATGAATGGGGATGAATGAATTTCTGAATTGGTGTCTTGGTTCTGACCCCAAGCTCCTTATTTATAACCATTGGAGGTTGTATCCTTCATTACATCTCTCACCATATCCACATCAGATTTGTAATTGATTTTATAATTGTTTCCTTTTTCGTTTAAGATCTTGTAGATTGGTGAGAGATTTAAGACTTTGAATCTTGTTATATCCTGCTTCAATCTTCGATGACTTTCTTTCGATATGTTTCCGTTTTGGTTCCGGATATCGCAATCTGGAAAATCTTCATTAAATCACAGCAAATCTTTGCTGTCAGGAACGTGCTTGGGCGCTCAAGCGCGCTGTTGGCTGCTTGAGCGTACTGAATTGCTTCAAATTGTTGTTGTTGTCTGCCTGAGCGCGCTCGAGCTTGCTAATGGGCGCTCGAGCGTGCTCCTCGAGTCTAATTTTTGTATTCTTGGGCGCTTGAGCATGATGTTGGGCGCTTGAGCGCCCTGAATTGCCCAGTTTGGCTATTTTCCCTGCTATGAAGTGCTCGAGCATCCTCTTGTGCGCTTGAGCGTGCTATTCTGGCTCTTAACTTATAAGATTTTGACTTCCCTTGGTCCATATTGAGCTTCTACTTCTTTGTCATGATTCCTTTAGCACTTTTAGCATCAATTCTTGTGGTTTTACCTTCAAAATGCAAAGAAATATAAAACATCAGCTCAAATTCTTATTTTATGACTTATATGTTATAAAACCTTGAATTCCATGCATTCTACTACATATTTCTTGTATAATTTAGCCTAAAAACATGGTAAACCAAAGGTTTATCATTTACATGAACAAATGTGGTGTCTTTGGTGAAAAATGGAGGAAAAGGAGGGTGGCAAGGGTGGCTGCTCAGACTTCAGAAATTCTCAGGTAGAGATGTTAAGTTTCTGACCTAAAAACTTGTGCCACTCACTATATATAGCCCCATTAAGTTTAATCACACTGTGTTAGCACTAAGACCTACGCTTATCATTTTAATTCCAAACTTTTGATTCTGAACCTAGTCATTTTTCTAGGATTTGTAATATTTTTATTTTATTTTTCGCAGAACTTTGCCGGTACGCGCTTTTACGTAGCTGATATCTTATCTGACATCAATTCTCGTTATTTTGACTCCAAACTTGTTTTCCTAGTCCTATATATTTTTCTAATGATATATACATACTTTTCATAATTTTCTGGGATACTTCATCGGTACGCACTAATACCGTGAGGCAGAATCAGTATCTGTACTTTTCGTCAAAAAAGCGCCTTTCAGCATTATTAATCACTTACTATAATTATTTAAGCCTTCTCATAATTATTCAGGTCAATTATGGAATTATTTCCTAAATTCACATTTAATTACTTTAATTTCCTAAATTAATGGTGCAGGTTCTTACATTCACCCACCTTTTAAGATTTTTGTCCGCAAAGATTTAAACATATATGTCCTGAAACTCTGGATACTATCGGAGAAGCTCGTCCTCTCGCTCCCAAGTACACTCCTCAGGAGTTCTTCCTGTCCATTGCACCTTGACCATCGGAATGATCTTGCTCCTAAGCCTCTTCTCGCCACGATCGAGAATCTTGAGTGGTCCGACGGGAGTCTTTAAGTTCTCCCGAATCTCCAACCTACAACCTACAGGAATTACATACGTTCTACAACCTACAATCAGTGCAAGACGCTACTTGCACCCACCCACAGAATCACCATCTTGTATGATGCTACATACTCAGGCCTACCGTCTAGGTGGAACAACACATACATATCATAAGGCACTTGCACTTAACAGCTCAATAGCATTTCAAATATCAATACATGAAAACACATCATGCATATAAACCATCCCCCCATGAGGTATGGTGGAACCAACAATGGAAAAACCGAGGACACGAAAGCTTACCTCGCAAGCTAACAATCCAAGCCAAAGTCCAACCCAGTCCAAGGTCCACAAACAGCATTCTCGCAGTCTGTTTATACCAACAATCAATATTCATATTCTAAAAGTTCATGACATAACGACAACGTTTTTCTTTTACGTTTCATGTCATTAGGCTCATCTCAAAGCCATAAGCCCTTAATCCAATTGATTCTGACTTAGATTAATTATTACAGAGGTTCAACTTACCCAATCATGGGTCCACAAACCCAAAATCCCATTCTGTATGAACAAAACAGTGACCATCTCAAAATTCCCAGAATATCCGGATATCCATATCCGGATATCTAAAGCCCCATATCTGGATATCCATATCCGGATATTTCGTGACAGAATGCAGATTCTGTATTTCGCGAAGATATCACTTAAAGGTTGTGTTTTTAATACTACTACACGTCCAAGAATCCATTTTTTTGGCATATTTAGACCAGTAGTCATGCTAGTTACTTAATCATCTTATTAATCATGCCAAAACTTGATCTTAACCAAGAAAAACTCATGAACAAAGGTTGGATTCATACCAATGGCTCAAAACAGAGCAAAAGAGTGTTCTTTGAGCTCTCTACACAACTCCAATAGTCAGACTTCCCAAGAGCACGAAAATGACAATCAAGCAAGGACCTTTCTCTCCAAAGGTAGCTTCTTGAAGCTCAAAATGCCATCACAATGGCTCTTCCCACCCACACCAAGAAGTCAGCCCCTTGATTGCACAGAAAACAGACCCTAAGGCTCTCAAGGAAGCACTCTCCACTCCCCCTATGTGTGCAACAAGCATATACCAAGATGGTGAAAGATTTACATGAACAAAGGTGGTGTCTTTGGTGAAAAATGGAGGAAAAGGAGGGTGACAAGGGTGGCTGCTCAAACTTTAGAAATTCTCACGTAGAGTTGTTAAGTTTCTGACCTAGAAACTTGTGCCACTCACTATATATAGCCCCATTAAGTTTAATCACACTGTGTTAGCACTAAAAGCTACACTTATCATTTTAATTCCAAATTTTGGATTCTGAACCTAGCCATTTTTCTAGGATTTGTCATATTTTTATTTTATTTTTCGCAGCACTTTGCCAGTACGCGCTTTTACGTAGCCGGTATCAGTTCTGACATCAATTCTCGTTATTTTGACTCCAAACTTGTTTTACTAGTCCTATATATTTTTCTAATGATATATACATACTTTTCATAATTTTCCGGGATACTTCATCGGTACGCACTGATACCGTGAGGCAGAACCGGTATCTGCACTTTTCGTCAGAAAAGCGACTTTCAGCATTATTAATCACTTACTATAATTATTTAAGCCTTCTCATAATTATTAAGGTCAATTATGAAATTATTTCCTAAATTCACATTTAATTACTTTAATTTCCTAAATTAACAGTGCGGGTTCTTACATTCATAACTTAAAAATTTGATTAGTAGTTCACAGATCCACTTACAGCTGTTTAATTGCACTGTAGTCTTTACCGGTGTTCTTAACTGTACCCGGATTTCATAATCTTCTTAACTTTAACATTATTGGTTTAATTATGAATTGTTAGGCATAAATTGGTATTTCTTTCCATTTTTTCATCTTTTTCCCGTTCTGGGATTTTATCGGCTGCTTGTATAGCTGTACAAAATATCCGGCAGAAGTAACTTTTTCAAAATACCACAATATGGGTATCAAACTTCATCAAATCATATAATAACCTCATATATGATAATCATATAATCAAAATAGCTCTCTAACTCTAATTTGCTAACTTGGAGCTATTCTACTGATTGTTACTGCGTCAGCAGTCAAAAATAACAGATAAAAATCCACCTGTGTAAAATACCCTCAATATGGATATCAAAAATT